TGGTTTTGAAAGAGAGGAAGAAGAAAAATATTGTTATTTTTTTTAAAAAATAATGAGAAATATAAAGAAAAAATTGAAAAGGAAAAGGAAAACGTTAAAATATTGATTTCACACGCTCATCAAGATGTGAGCTACATTTTTTGTGCCACATCTGCATAAAGTGTCTAATTGGTTCAAATTCGAGAGGGTAGAGGTGTTCAATAGGTACTAGTCCTAGTTGAGGTGTCTAAGTAAATTATGCGGACAACTTTAAGGGGGCGCAAATAAATTAAGCTTAAATATTACTCCCTCTGTTTCAAAAAGAATGATCCCCTTTCCTTTTAAGTTTGTTTAAAAAGAAAATTACCTTCTTCTTTTTTGTAACATTTTAATTTCAACTTTCCACATGACATGTTTTAAGACCACAAGATTAAAGGACAATTTTGTACATTTGACATAACTTTAATTTAGGACCATAAGATTCAAAAGTCTTCTTTATTTTCTTAAACTTCGTGTTAAGTCAAATTAGGTCACTCTTTTTGAAACGGAAGGAGTATGTTACTGCCGATTGCAGATTGTCTAGCCACTTTGAAGGATAACAAATCTGTCTATCTGTCTACATTTTATATTAAAGTATGAAAGTTATTGAATGGACTTTTTGTCCTTTTAAAAAAAAAAATTATAATAGATAAAATTATTAATTATTATTATTATAAGGGAAAAATTCTAAATTATAAGAAGATAATTAATTGCCTATTTTAATATTAGGAGAATAATTTTTTTTTCTTTTTAGTGCAAAATCCTTTTAAGTGGAAAATTCATTAGACGTAGAATTTATTATACGCAGTAATATTTTATTGCAAAATCTAAAAACTACTTACAATTTAAATTCATTTTATATAGATTTTATTTATTCAGCTTTAGGAATCACTTTAGAATTAGGTTTTCTTTAACCAATTACGGAATATTACATACGTATGTCTCTCTTTATTTAGGTTTTAGACCATTCTTCAAAAAATAAATAAATTATATCAATACTTTGTTACTTAAATAATCATTTTTTACAATTTTGGTTTTGAATAAAAATTTCATAACAACAAATTTTAATGAAAAAATCAATAAGATTGGTTAGGCGACACTAACAAAGATTATCATACAATGATAAGTAGTCATTTCTACTTAATTAGAGGGCTCAAGTTGAAATCTCCTTAAATACAAAATCGCCTTTTTACTCTAATTTTAAAAAATCTTAAAAAGTCCATATTTACCTCATTAATCTCAAATGTCACTACTCACTCTGTTCCATCATACTTGTCAACAACCTTTGTCAGCCAAGTATTTCTAGCACGTGCCTTTTCCCCTCCCTTATTTATGGACTTTTTCTTCTTCTTCTTTTTTTTCCTTTTTTGGGATGGCGCCAAATTTGCACCTTAAATTTTTTTTTGGTAACTACGGTAAAAGATTACCATTATCATTAAAACCAGTATAAATAAAGAGCACCTATACTTGGTAATAGAGATTAGGCCTCCTACAAAGTAAAAAATTTAAGTACAAAATAGTTGAACAAAATTCCTACAATTTTGTGTTTTTTTTGAACTACCAAGTAATTGTAATTTCTCCATAATCTCCTATTTGATCTGTGTTGCTGCCTCCTTTGTATGTACAGTCTTGCCTTTGAAATTTTTCCAATTCCTGGCTCTCCATATGTGATATAAGATTGCTCCACAAGTAGCCGCAATAGTCTCCTTCTTAAATTTCTTCCAGTGCATCAACATTATTCTTTTCAGTGTCTGCTTGATCCCATAGTTTTGCAACTCTTTTCCTATCCATTGGTTCACCTCTTTCCATATAGCCTGTGCCCACTCATACTTCACGAATAAGTGCCTTGTGACCTTCTTATCACAAGGCAACAATCAGTGTCCACCACCTGAATGTGTAGTTTCAGTTTCCTCTCCTGCGTAAGTAATCTTCCTTGTACAGCACGTTATGAATCTATGTTTAGGTAGAGCCATAGAGGTCCATACTAGCTCAACAGTTCTCATACGTGATTGTTGGCCAATTAGTGCTAAGTAACGGCTAGTGATGGAATATTTCCCAGTTTGTGTGAGCATGTATCTTCCTAATTGGTTATACCAACCAAGCATTTGGAACTTGATTGCATTTAGCTTCTTCCAATACCAGCTACAATCTGCAGGTGTTTTATGATTCCATATTGTTGAAAATAGTTATTTCAACAGAATTTTACATCTATGTCCATGTAATATTAGTCCCACACGTCAATTCTATCACACTTTGTTGAGGGGAAAAAACACACACTGTCAAATTGATATACAAGGCTTCTTTTCGCAATCAATTATATACTTACCATCTAATTATAGAGAAACTTTAGTTGGATGGTGAAATATCAAACGTCAACTAGTAACACATTTTATGGTCTTACACGTGTAAAATAGCTTGATGTTTTTGGCATAATAATATTATCTACAGAACATGTTAAAACAGGAAATTTTGCATACAAGAACATGAAGAAAAAAAAACCTAACAACTTTGTAGACTCGTACACTTAATTATTACATATAGTGAAATTATTAACTAGACAATGGAGTAGCCACCACAAACAAAGGTAATTTCCTACGAACAGCGAGCCCATTGCATTCAGTCATGTCCAAATCCTCCCCTTTTATCCCTTCTGGTAATGAAAAATTGAATCTATACATGAGGTTTGCTAATGCTAGCTCATTCACCATTATAGCAAAAGGAATTCCTGGGCAGCCCCTTCGGCCAGCTCCAAACGGAATCAACTCAAAGTTTAGTCCTTTGACATCAATATCACTATTTAAGAATCTCTCAGGCCGAAACTCCTCTGGATTTTCCCATAATAAGGGGTCTCTTCCAATTGCCCAAACATTAATTATGGCTTGAGTTCTAACAGGTATGTCATATTCAAGTAATTTTACTTCTTCCATTGATTCTCGGGCAGCTAGAAGTGGATTCGGTGCATGAAGCCTGAGGGACTCTTTGATCACCGCTTTAAGATAGTGCATATTTCCTAAGTCATCCTCTGTTATCTCTGTTTTCCCTTGGCCTAATTCTCGCACTTCATCCTCTAATTTTTCCAGAACTCTTGGATGCCTCAAAAGCTCTGTCATTGTCCACTCCAAAACTGTATATGTTGAATCTGTGCCGGCAACAAATGCATCCTATGCATTATAAAGAAACACAAATTGGGACGACCGTCAAATGGTAAATATATTAGTAGTACGAATTATATTCAAACTAAATGCTTAAAAGAAAAAATAAAACAAGACACACACTAAAGAGGGAAATTTTACCAAAAGGATAGCTTTCAATGAATCTCTTTGAAGTGGAAAACCAATCTCCTTTCCATTCTGAATTTCCAGCAAAACGTCCACGAAATCTTTAGCTTCACCCGCACTGTATTCTGCTTTCTTGTTCCTAATCACGCGTTCTTCAATCACGCTCTCTAGAAATGCATCCAAATCTTTAGCTACTTTCTTCACTCTGCTGTCCAGACCATTGATTTTATTGATCCATTTAAGCCACGGAATATAATCCCCAATGTTAAAAGTACCTACAAGTACAAGAAGTTCTTCTAGGAGAGCCTTAACAGCTATTCCACTTTCCCCTTCATTATATGTCCTTCCTATGTTCACTCTGCTGATTATATTATTAGTCATACAACTTAAAACATCTCTCAAGTCTATCACTGAATCACACTGTTGCCTAATTTTATCAATCATGTTTGATGTTTCTTCTTCTCTCACATGACGATATGATTGGGCTCTTTTGTTGCTCAGAAGGTGAAGCACCGCAACACTTCTAATTTGTCTCCAGTATTCACCATACGGACTAAAGCCCACGTCTTTGGAGCCATAAAAGAGTCCATCTGCCATGCTAGATTTAGGTCTATTTGACCAAACGAGATCGTGAGTTTTCATGATATCGCGAGCAGCATCAACAGAGGAAGCAACTATCACTGGCTTAGTGCCAAAGTGAAGTAGCATGAGTGGACCATATTTTTTGGATAGTTTATGGAGAGAACGGTAAGGAAGCGATCCAAGTTGATGGAGATTGCCTATGATTGGAAGCTTTCTTGGAGATGGTGGTGATAACCTTTTTTGTGTGTTTGAAGAGCTAAAGAAGCACTGATGAAGAAATAAAATGAAGGCAAGCAGAGGAACAAGAAGAAAATACTCCATTTTTGTTTTAGAAAGAAAGAAAATCAAGAATATTTGGACTCAGTTATCTCTTAGTACGTAAGACAAATTGTGTGGTTACAGTTGAATTCCGTTTTCTTTTTTGTCGTTCAATCAATAGAACTGTCAATTTTGGCTACCTTGAAAATCTTCTCAAAATCTATAGGCTTAATACGCCCCTTACACTTGAAAAGATATTCAATTTAGACATTCACGGATGTTATAAAAATAAATAGTTCTAATCATGTTCCAATTAAACACCTGAACTCCTATAAGGTTTATTTAGATATTTTATCTCAAAAAATATTCAATATGATTACATACTTGTGTTCCTCTGCATATTTTTGCAAAATTTCCAAATAAAAATCATCAATAATCATGTTATGTTAAAAGTAAAAATCAACAAAGTTAAAACTTGAATTACTAAAAAAATTCTATAAAATTTATATGGACTATTATAACACAAATTAGGCCAGCTAAGGAAGTTGAAAAGGATCCAGTCAACAGGAACAAAAGGGCCTCAAAACCACCTGAGAAGTTATCAGTCTTTAGCTGGAAGTCTGGGTAACTAGGGATCTCGGGTAACTAGAGTGGGTTAGGTTAACTATATATGGATAATATCTCATATTGTTACTTAATTATGAGCTTTTTTCATAGAAAGTTATTTAACTTTAATTTTTAAACATAGTCAGTTAATTTTGATTTTTAACTCAGAAGTCATTCAATTATAAATATTTTTCATAGAAAGTCACTCAATTGCAAGTGTTTTACTTACAAAGACACTTAACTTATTTAATTAATTTTTTAAATAAAATTTGTTGATATGAATTTTGTTTTCACTCTGCTGATTATGTTATTAGTCATACAACTTAAAACATCTCTCAAGTCTATCACTGAATCACACTGTTGCCTAATTTTATCAATCATGTTTGATGTTTCTTCTTCTGTCACATGACGATATGATTGGACTCTTTTGTTACTGAGAAGGTGAAGCACCGTGAGGCTTCTAACTTGTCTCCAGTATTCACCATACGGACTAAAGGCCACGTCTTTGGAGCCATAAAAGAGTCCATCAGCCATGCTAGATTTAGGTCTATTTGACCAAACGAGATCGTGAGTTTTCATGATATCGCGAGCAGCATTGACAGAGGAAGCAATAAGCATTGGCTTAGTGCCAAAGTGAAGTAGCATGAGTGGACCATATTTTTTGGATAGTTTATGGAGAGAACGGTAAGGAAGCGATCCAAGTTGATGGAGATTTCCTATGATTGGAAGCTTTCTTGGAGATGGTGGTGATAACTTATTTGAAGTAGAAAAGAAGCATTTATGAAGAAAGAAAAACAGAGGAATTAGAAGATAATACCAGGTAAGATCCATTATTTTTTAGATAGGAACATTGATGAGGAAATAGGTGTAAATAAGGAAACAAGTACGCCCTAATTATTGATGAGGGAGTATGCGCGCATGTTAGATAATTTTTTTATATTGTTCAATGGCATTTTAAAATATTAACCTCAGGAAACATAAATCTTTGTTTTGGCCCCGTTTAGATATGATTTGAAATAGACTGATTTGAAGTTGACGTTTCGTTTGAACATCTAATTTAAATTTTCTTAAAATTTATTTTTGCTCAGAAACATGAAACCCCACATTTTCTTTGATATCTTGAATTAATGGTATTGTTGGGATCTCTTAATCATTTGCTCATTGACTTTTTGTTGCCAAAGTTGGTAAATGCTTCTAAAAAGGGAAAAATTAATTAGGGCCTGTTTCGATTGACTTTTGGCTTATGACTAATAAGCCAAAAGCCATAAGTTAGGATTTCTAACTTATGACTTTTGACTTATTTTTGTTATTTTGGTTTTAAAATAAGTGCTTATAAGAACTTTTTAACTTTACCCAAAACAGTTCAAAACAATTGTGCAGGAAGGATGGAATGTGACTATAGAGGGGTGTATGATGTATAAAGTAGTGCGGAGATTGAAGCTGCTAAAAAAGAAGTTGAGAACTCTACACTCTCAAGCTTTCCAAAATATTGTTAGTGAGGCAAATGAGGATAGGGAGAATCTAAAGCTGGCACAAGCACAACTGCAGACTGACCCTGGTAATCTAGAGCTCCAACAGTCGGAAAGTGATTTGTATCAAAAATTCAAGAGGTCCTCTTACATGGCGGAGTTATTTCTTCAGCAAAGAAGTAAGGCTACATGGATAAGGTTGGGAGATGATAACACTAGATACTTCTATTCAGTCATAAAATACAGGAAGTTAAAGCATGCCACAACACATTTAAAAGACAAAGCAGGAGAATGGCAAACTGACCCTGCTATTATTGCTGCACTATTTGTGGATTATTATAAGGGAATACTGGGAAGTACCACAGTGCATAGAAGGCCAGCAATGGGGGACCTGATAAAAAATGGGATGGTGCTTACTGAGGAGCAGCAGTGTGAGCTAATTAAAAGTATAGATCCAGCAGAAGTAAAAAAAGCAATGTTTCAGATAGACAGCAATAAGAGTCCTGGTCCTGATGGGTATGGTAGTGGTTTTTACAAAGAAGCTTGGTCAATAGTGGGTAAAGATGTTACCACTGCAGTCTTAGAATTCTTTCAAAACAACAAAATACTTAAGCAGATTAACACTACAAGTATAGCATTTATTCCCAAGATAGATAAGCCTGAATATGCTAGTCAATTTAGGCCTGTCTCATGCTGTAATGTCATTTATAAATGCATTTCCAAATTAATCTGTAGTAGGCTAAAGTCAGCAGTAAATCATCTGGTAGCAGAAAATCAGTCAGCATTTGTTCAGGAAAGATTAATGATGCACAATGTGCTGATTTGCCATGATATTTTGAGACACTGCAACAGGAAGAATGCATCTCCTAGATGTCTTATGAAGATAGACTTGAAGAAAGCATATGACATGGTCAGTTGAGAGTTTCTGGAGGAAGTACTCACTGCTTTTGGGTTTCCTGGACAATTTATTCAATAGATTATGTTGGGAGTCACTACCACCATGTTTTCAGTTAGAGTAAATGGGGGTAACCATGGTTTTTTTGCTGGAAAGAGAGGGCTGAGGCAAGGTGACCCCGTATCTCCTCTATTGTTTGTACTTGTGATAGAGTGCCTATCTAGAACTCTTCATACTATGAGTCAATTGTCGGACTTTAAATATCACCCAATGTGCAAGAAGCTGCAACTCACCCACCTAATATTTGCTGATGATCTAATGATTTTTTGCAAAGGTAATGTGATCTCAGTAAATAGAGTAATGGAAGCATTAGCGCACTTTAGTGCAGTCACTGGTCTGGAGGCTAATTTGGAGAAATCAACTGTGTATTTAGCTGGAGTTGATGAGGATACAAAAAGCAGAATCATTGCAAGAACTGGATTTTCAGAGGGTGCTTTTCCCATGAAGTATCTAGGTCTTCCCTTATCCCCAAAGAAATGGAGGAAGATAGAATGCCATACTTTGATAGATAAGATCACTCAAAGAATAAAAGTGACATACTCTAAGCAACTTTCCTATGCTGGTAGACTACAGGTGATTAATGTTGTGCTTTTCTCAATTCACAGTTTTTGGGGGGCAGTGTTTATTCTTCCCCAGAGCATTCTAAAGGAAGTTGATCAGATTTGTCGAGCTTACTTATGGGGTAGTAGTACAGAGAAGAAGAAAGTAGCATTGGTTGCATGGGATAAAGTGTGTTTTCCCAAGAGACTAGGAGGACTGAATATTAAGGGTTGCATTAATTGGAACAAAGCATCAGTGGGTCATTTACTGTGGCAAATAATTGTGAACAAAGAGGCACTTTGGGTTAAATAGGTCCATGGTATATATATGAAGACTGATTCTATATGGAATCACAAACCTCCCATTGATAGTAGTTGGTATTGGAGGAAAATTAATGCACTTAAAGAGGAAATGCAGAGTTGGTACAATCAAGGAAGATATATGTTAACTCTTAATGACACCTATTCTATTTCTAAGAGTTATTTAGCAATTATAGGATGTAAACCTACATGGAAGTTGGCTGCACTAGTGTGGACGTTAATGGCACTTCCTAAACACAGATTCTTAATGTGATTGGCTGTCCAGGGAAGACTACTTACACAGGAGAGAAAGTTGAGGTTACAGATTCAGGTTGATGATACTGCATGTTGTTTATGTGCTAAGAAAGTAATGGAGACCAATGATCACCTATTTGAGAAATGCAAATGGATATCAACTGTGTGGCAAGCAATGAATCATTGGACTGAAGTGTCTATGCATAATATTGGTATAATGAAAGTTCTGGAATGTATAGATGGGAAACACTGGAAGCTATTTCAAAAAGAGATCATGGCAGCGATATATGGAGCTATCATTTATCACACTTGGCGTGCCAGAAATTGGAGGCGATACAAAGGCAAATGTGTACAGACGGATGAGGCAATTGCACAGATAAAGAAGGAAATCAGAGAAAGGTTACAGTTACTTAGTAGTTCCAAGAAAGCAATAAAATGTAGGAATTTTATTCAGTATTTAATGTGTTTTTAGTTTTCTTATGATTTGGTAGGAGGTCTGTTCTTTGTTATCAGAGAAAGGTGCTCTTCATTTGTATTCGTACTTTTTGTTGGTTATGGTAATATATTTACAGTTGTTACCAAAAAAAAAAAAATTTACCCAAACACTTCAAAACTGTTTAAAAGCTATTTTGGCTTAAAAGCACCTAAAATAAGTCGATCCAAACGGGCACTTAATGGGTCTTAAAATGACATGGCCCATTTGTAAACATTTATCTTGTTTGCTTTGTAGGAAATACTTTAACTATTTTTACAACTTGGATAAGCATTTGAGGAAAAAATGGATTTACATACAAAAATCACCAACTGGTTAGTGTTAGCACAAGCAAATAGTAGTGAGAAGGAAATTAGTAAAAGTCAACGAAAGAAGAAAATGAAGAAAAGCACAGTAAGCAGAATTGTGGAGAGAAATCTAGAATTGGTATATTTGAAAAGGCATAATTGACACCTAATTTTGGACCTACGCATGTAGACTAATCATCGAGCTTCTTCAATTTGAAATGATTTAAAATAATAAATTTTAGAAAAATTTTGAAAAAAAATATAGTTTGCAAGTTATTTTAAATAGTTTGTCACCTTTTATAATTTTTAGATAATATATATGTTTTACATAATTATGTGTATAATTAGTATATTTTATGAATATTTGAAAATCATCTCAAAAAAGTCTTAATTTTATTTGAAAATTTGGTTTTAGTTTAGTTAATCAATAGTTTATATTTTTGAGTTAATTAGTTTATAAGTAAGTTAATTATTTTATTTTGTAGAAATTAAGAAGCTCGTTAATTAATCATTATCAATTCGTTTTATTTAAGTTTTTTTTTTTTTTTGGTCGAATTCACTATTTAACTCAATTTGACTATTTCTTAAATTCCAAGATCTAACCTCTTTTCTTACCTCACTTTAAACCAATTTGGAGACCAATTTTGGGCTTTTTAGTGTCATTTACAGCAGCCCACTGCTCAGATTAGTAAACCCAATACACGTGGTACCAAATTCCGGCCCAATTCAACATTTCCCTTTTTGTTTTTCAGCTTCAGCAGCCCATTCCATTCAGCAACAGTAACAATACAACAGCAATACCCCTGTACAACGTCTTCTTCCCAAGAAGCAAACCCAGAAAAAATGACCCAAACTCCAGTAATTCCAGCGACCCGAATCGCGAACCAGCAACCCGAATCAGCAGCCCGCGCGTCCTTCTCCCTCTCTCCTTATCCCCTTCGGGAATAATCCACATGGAGCAATCTCCTTGCAAGATCATCCTTGCTCAAAAATCGCACGGCCCTTATCAATTTCCCGTTAAGAAATCCGTTCATTTGGTACTAAATCGAGCTGGCTGGCAGCCTTATCCTAGAGATATTTCGAATTTCAAATTTTGAATTTCATCCCAAAGTTCCTCCCGTTTTCCCCCTTTACTCAGCTCCAATTTCTCCTATATAAAGCTTTATTGATTTGAGCTAATCTGTGATTATGGTTTCATGTTCTGTTATTGACTAAAAATAGCTCGGATCGTGTTTGTGCTTGTATGATGATTTACATCCCTATGGTTTTGTCCAGAATGCGAAGATATGTTTAAACTTTGCTTTTCTAGTTTTAGTCCTGTTTATTCTGGCTCTTACGTCTTTGTTTTGATCTCATCTCCAAGATATTGTCTTTTCAAGTTTAATATTGAAATTTCGGATCGATCATAATCGTTTGCCATTATAATTAGTTTCAACCGGTTAAGACATATAAGATTACATGCGCATGAGCTTTACTTGAACTATGTATCGGCTTTTCCTCGATAAGTTTTTAAAAATATGCAATTTTGTAAAA